ATATATATATATATATATATATATACACAAGCTTACAGAACACCTCTGCTTTATAACTTGAATCCGACACTCCCTGTTTCTTTGAATTGAGAAAGCTACTCGGATGAGAAGCAAAACGTCTTCAGCTACAAGGGTTCAGTTGTTTTGACAGGAAAATGGAGGATATTTCTAATTCACGTCTTCTCTCTGTGACTAGGACAAAAGTAAGACTTCAAAATAAATGTGTTTACTTCACAACTATGACTACATTTAGCTGCTGTTTAATCTACTTTTTTTTTTATTTCACCCTTCTTTGTGAACATCTGTTAAAAATGATCATCTTTTGGAGGTCCACGCCTACTGCAAACTTTTGTTGAGTTGTGCTGTACTTATCAAGATGACGTTGGTTATGAGTTAAGAATTTTAGAGTTTTAGACAGAAAGCCTTCAGCAGTAAACCTCAGGACGGACTGAATCTTTCAAAAAGACATGCACACAAATCTTTCCAATCCTTCTCCCCTAAAATTAGTTTTCTGCATAGTTAAATAAGGACCAAACTTATCCTTAACAAAATGTTTAAGCTTGATTTTGTCCTATTAATTCAAGGCAGAAGGAACCTGAAAATCATAAGGGTTCACTATAAATTGTAATATTAGTATATACACAGTTCTGTACTGTACATGCAACATGGCGAATGCAGGTTTCTCCCTGTATGTGAAAGGTTGTGCATGCAAATATTCCAGGAACAGTTGCCATTTCAGCTACAGGTAACCATTGTCAGCAGGTAGTTTCTATGCAATGCATTAACCATGCAGCCAAGCCAGTGCAGCGCACGCTGTACACTACTTTGGTGCAGGCAGGCACTCACAAGGGGCTGGCCAGTGGGGGCAAGAAACTGCTCCTGGCAGGCTCGTCCCAGCAGGGCTCTACCCCTGGCAAGGGGGTGAGAGGAGGCCTGCGATGGGAGACAAACGACACGGGCCTGGTTCATCTCTAACTACGCTCTTTGGAGGAAGCACAAATTCTGAACTTTCTAACCTGCCTTTATCATTTCATAAAAGTAGAGAAACATGACGTGACACTAATGGCTATTTTTGTGGATATAAAATCATGAACAGTTCAATCTGGAATGAGATCTACACAGATTACTATAGAAATGAGTCTTTTGAGATTGGAATGCAGTCGTACACAAGGTATACTGTACAAATTAACAAAGAAACACAAACAGAACCCATACTGTACACAAAGAAAACAAGACAAAGAAACAACGACAGTCATGCACAAAGCAGACGGCGTTTCAAGGTTAAAGATTACAGATGGATCAACAATCAGTATGCACACAGCAGCTCTGGGTAATGTGCTTTAAATGCTGGTTTTGCTGCTTTGCCCATGATCTGCTAGAGATTGACTCTGTGCATGTTCTTCAACACCATGCAGGGAACCGGATCACTGTTTAATTTATTTATTTTTCTGTGGACTATCCTTCATTAATTGCTCTGTGACAGCATTCATCATAAACAATAATTACATTTTTAAAAGGTGTAAGAGAAGATGAACAGAAGTAGCCACCTCTGGCAGACTGCAGGGCCTCTGAGATGTCTTTACTTACGGCGACTCAATGCTTTTCCTGAAGTGTGTCACCGACAAGGGAGGATCTGAGAGGAAAAACACATTTAATTGAGCTTTTTCTTTTGCTCATTGGCCCAAATTCAAGTCGGACGCTTGGACAGAATATAAAGAAATGAGCCTCAAGATCATCAAATAAGTAGGATAACCAAACAAAAGGAGTCCACTACAAAATGGATCCAAAGAGCCATCACATCTGTTTTTGACCTGCAGACCCGTGCAGTTACCCATCAACTTTCCAGTAAAGGAAGAGGCCAACCTGGTTTACGCTTGAGTTTTCGACGGTGTTGCTTATTAACAAAGCAAGCTGCTAGAGTGCTGAACAGTACTGCTGCTGCCAGAAAACAGATCGTCGCCACAACGCCTGCCACCACCGGTCGCGCCAGGCCCTCTTCTGGCAATTCTGCAGCAGGGAACGGGTCTAAGTGGGCACACGAAGGAGTAAAAACACAAACAATACAACATAATTAAAGACATTTTGAAACACAGCATGAATGAATTCATTGCAGAAAATGAAGCTTTTCTTTGTAAATGCACCCACCTGTGCTGGACACTCCCACTACATTGCTGCTCTCACTGATCAGATCATCCATGACCGCCATCACTCGAAACTCATACCAGGACTCCTGAAAACAAACGCTCTTGTTAGTGCACTCATGTAACAAATACTTGTTAGTGTACTCATGTAAACAAACACTCTTGTTAGTGCACTCATGTAACAAATACTTGTTAGTGTACTTATATAAAAAAACACTCTTGTTAGTGTGCTCATGTAAACAAATACTTGTTAGTGTACTTATATAAAAAACACTCTTGTTAGTGTACTCATGTAAACAAATACCTCCTTAGTGTACTCATGTAAACAAATACCTCCTTAGTGTACTCATGTAAAAAAAATGCTCTCGTTAGTGTACTCATGTAAACAAATACTCTTGTTAGTGTACTCATGTA